TTGGTAATCTTATATTAATTTTTCCTCTTGTATTATATTTATGTATATCTTCATTTCTAGTTATTTCAGACCGAGTATTAGACATTTCTTTCTTCATGTGAATGAGACATTCGTATACGAAGCATGAGGCTACTGTTAAGATTTTGAATCGTTTAAATAATGGTTTGCAATGTTCTGTATAACTTACTCCTGCCATTATCCTTATAACTTTTTTTTGTGAAATGAAAATTTTTGTAGAATGAGTTGATGCACCCCACACTATCAAGGCATATGTCATTACTGAATGAAATGTTGGGAAATAAGACACCCTTAGATATTCCTCAGTCAGTTTACCCTTCAGCTGCCTCAATATATATGTTGATGTTGCTAGACGCTTACATAATTGATCAATGTGAGACAAAAAATTCAGACCTGCGTCTAGATGTACCCCAAGCAATTTCACTACGTTTCCGTCTGACCTATTGTTCAACTTAAAATTCAAAACTTGAGTCTTCTCATTATTGAGAGTAAGATAATTACTCTCATTCCAGATTTGAATCACTTGTTTCGTGTTGGACATTTTGTCATTGAGGATTTCTTCATTTCGGTCACAGTGGATTATAGACACGTCATCAGCATACCCAATAGGATGTATACTTTCACTAAAATGAGATACAAAGTACCTCATCTATGTATCGAACACTAAAATACAAGAGCAATTTTGTGTTACAGCCTTAGAAAAATATTTTATTCTGCATGAGGAAGGAGACTACCTTTTTCAAACTACCTGACCTAAAATACCTAACCTACCCAACCTACCTAACTCGGCCGAATCTGAGATTTTTCTGAAATAATAACACAATGGAGTCATTGTGATATCAGATACGGAAATAATATTGATGACATACAATAAAGTACCTCATTGACGTATCGAGCACAGTGAAACAAGAGCAATTTTGTGTCATAGCCGTAGAAAATAGTATATTGTTTAACGATCACGGAATGACAGTGATTTCCTACGAGAATTAAGTTTGCAGGATGAGCCATAGGTGAATGTTGCAATCATTCAAGTAGGAAATTAGCTCTCCGTGCAAGTTATACACTATAATTTTTTTACGGCTATAATAGATACAGCGGCATTTTCGATTTCCTCGTCTTGTATCCATTTGATTTCCTGTCGAGTAATGCTCATCTATCAGACAGAATTGTCATTGCTTCTCATTAGACATTCCATGAGCGATGAGATTTTTTTGAAATAATAACACAATGGAGTCATTGTGATATCAGATACGGAAATAATATTGATTACATACAAAGTACCCCATTGACGTATCGAACACAGTATAAAACATGAGCAATTTTGTGTTATAGCCGTAGAAAATTAGTATATTGTTTAACGAGCACGGAATGATAGTGATTTCCTACGAGAATTAACTTTGCAGCATAAGCCATAGGCGAATGCTGCAATCATTCAAGTAGTAAATTAGCATTCCGTGCAAGTTATACACTATAATTTTTCTACGGCTATAATAGATAACAGCGGTATTTTCGATTTCTCCGTCTTGTATCCATCTGATTTCTCCATCTATTAGACAGAAACTGTCATTGCCTCACATTTGAAATTCCATGGGCGATAATAAGTTTTGTTTTGAAATAATAATCCAATGAAGTCATTGTGATATCACATATGGAATTGAAATTGATGACATACAAAGTACCTCATTGATGTATCGAAGATAGTAAAACAAGAGCAATCTTGTATTATAGCTGTAGAAAAAATAGTTTTTATGTTATGTTATGTCATGACATTACTTCGACTTCTGCCATCGATTCTGATGTATATTTCTATACCTAAAAGATACAACCTTAATGATCGATGATTGCTTGACACTCTGACACACTAAATTGATTCAATTAACCACTGATGAAATATTTCTACCTCATTACACTTTAACACAACATAATCACTATATCATATCTAGTTAGGTACCTATGTCTCAGCATGAACCGACCCTAATTAGAGGCGGTATTAATCAAGTTTTCGTTGGAAGCCACAACTTGGTCAATTGTTTTCATCGTCTTCCTCTTGTATTACTCGTAACATGGTTATTGGTCGCAGTTGGGGAAGGTTAGTACGTGAAATTAATGCCTTGAAGGCAATTTGAACACGAACAAACATCCATCATTAACACGGAGCGTTCGCATTCAAGAGCTAGGGCAGTGCGAGCTATATTAAGAGGTTCCAGGGGTCATGTTATGCATAGAATAGTGATTACTATAGAAGAAGCCGTCAGTGCTATTCAAAGCAATATAACTTTGACGTTGGAATAGAAAATTATCATTTCTAGATCATGATTTCTCTTCACAGAATTCCTTTATAATATATATCGATTATCGAACCAGATAAGATCAATTCTCTACTCTACGTAATAGTGTACTAGAAGGAATATAATGAGTATAATTTTTTTCTCTTGTTTATTCATGAAACATATAAGTAGGTATATTATGAGTGCGTATATATTGCATATAGATGATATCCTCATATAACAAATATTGAATGCAATTACTATTGGGAATAAGTTGAATTCTATAGTCCTATGAGTATGCGATTCTTGAGATGCAACAGGCATTTGCACACTCATGATACAGAGAACACGACTGATTGTTCTTGTTTATCCTTCGTATTGAATATCATGATTTTATCAATGAGGTGAGAGAGTCATTCAATGGTATGAGCATCGACAGTAAACGTATTCGAAATAATACAAACAACCCATTATTCATATCCGATGTTCTGGTCCATGGGACCGACAGAAACGAAATATTCTCATAAATATTGACGCTCTACAACCAACCACATTCAGTTAAATTCGCAGCACGTTAGTATACTCGCGGAAGGGGCATTATCTCCATCTATTCGCATATTGTTGGAACTCTTTTCCACGTGACAAAATTATGTCCGGAATAAATGTAGAAAAATAATTGTTGTGACGAGTATTTGATTCAGATTGAGAAGTGGCACACGTAGGATTTCAATATGTTTAGCTCACTACTCCAAAACTCGATACTCTCTTCGACATATCTCGTTAAACAGAAAACGAGTACTAGGAAAACCTAGGATCGATAATCAACTCATTCAACGAGCCCACAGGAAACGTGAAATTTGGCAAACATACAAAGGAATAGGCGATCCTCATGACTACGATGTACACCGTTCTTTCTCCAGTGCACTCTCCGAGGACATCAGGCAAGCCAAACAACGTTATGAATCAACCCTTGTGAAAAAAGACACGGAAGCAATCTCAAAGTACACTCGAAGTCAACTTACATCCAAAGTATCTACACCTATTATTCGGGATAATGGAACAATCTACGACACAAACTTCGTAGCTGCAGAAGCCCTAGCCAAAAAATTCGAAGAAACTTTCACACCACCATGTCAGCAGCCATTACCTCCTATCATTTCCCCCAGATATCCTAATTCTCTAGAAGTAATTCATTTTCCATCCATGTTAGTGACAAAGAAGCTACAGGTTATCAAACTAACCACATTACCTGGCCCAGACAACCTTTCGCCATATATCCTAAAAAAACATGCCACAGTCCTGTCTCTTCAAATACTCCTTTGCGCACCACTCTCTTCCTTCTGCCTGGCTCTCGGCATCTGTCACACCTATTTACAAGGAAGGTGACAAACTTGATATGTGCTAAAATTATGGAAAGAATAATTCTGGACCAACTTTTACCATTTCTCATCGAAAATGATACGATACCTTCGGCTCAACATGCTGGATTTAATCCTGGAAGATCTACAACAACAAACCTACTCCTCTGCCTCGACAATTGGACGAAAGCTCTCGACTCCTTAGCTCCAGTAGAGCCTTCGACAAGGTACCCAAGAATAAGCTTGTCTTCAGGCTCGGATATTTTGTAGTACGAGGTGACCTCTTGAAGTGGATAAATGGATTCCTCAGCAACAGGAGGTTCAGAGTCAGAGTTGGTTCTTCATTTTCAAATTATCACGATGTTCTATCAGGGGTGCCACAGGCATCTGTCGTTGGACCGACGTTGTTCCTATTATATGCTTCTGACTTACAAAATGTTATCTCTTCGGACCATTCTTTTTTTGCCGATGACAGTAAATTATTTGGAAATCCAGCTACCAGTCGTGCTCAGCTCCAAACCGATCCCACTTCGCTAGAATAATGGTGCTACGACTGGGATATCCCCTTGAATTACAGCAAATGTTGTGTACTACATCTTGGCAATAACAGTCCATTCCACAACTACCAATCATTCAATAATACAGTGCCGTCCGTGGACGAGCAACGTGATCTAGGTATCACCATCAACAAGAAACTATAATACAGTGCCGTCTGTGGACGAGCAACGTGATCTAGGTATCACCATCAACAAGAAACTGTCCTGGTCGGGTCATATAACAGATATTGTACACAAAGCAAACAGTCGCATCTCTCTACTACTAAGTGTTTCACCAACCCTAGTCCACATCTATTTGGTCAACTATACAAGTCGTATATACGTCCTTCACCAGAGTATGGTGTTCAAATCTGGTCTCCACACCCAGTGAGAGACATAAAACTCTTAGAGAAAACCCAACGTCTGTCAACCCGAATGGTACCCTCACTCAGGCACTAACTTATCCTATGAAGATAGATTGACCCGATTGAAGATTCCATTCCTCAAAGACCGACGAGCCAGAGGATATGCTATTCTGACCTACCGCATACTGCACGACACATTCTCCATCGACATGCAGCATATTTTCGAGCTGAACACGGACTCCAGACTGAGAGGACATACAATGAAGCTTAAACGCGAAAACTTCAAATCCTGTCATAAGTAACAATAATTGATCTTCCATACCTCTGTGAACAATATTATTCCTTCTACAAGTTTCAATATTGATATTTTGTGATTTATTTAGGACGTTCCTTTTTATTACCTAGTATCAAATACGGCCCTGGTCACGCATCCACTTTACACAGATTGCTGGCTATCTACTTGCCCAATCTCCTAGAAGCTAAATCGAAATTTCCTGTTCTCAGTTCGTCCCTTCTCAACTGTAAACCAACACTAAATGTATAAGATAAGTTTTTCGTGGGCAACCAGGCGATGAAAACTGGAAGAAAATAAATTTCAAGGCAGACACTTGAATAGCGTGAATGAATGTGACTGCAGGGTCCTGCTAGATTGGAAGGATTCCGCTGCTGAAATTTTACCCCGGGCGTAGATAAATAGGCTCAAATATGGAACCCTATTTCGTCTGTTTTTTTTTTCTGCGATAACGTGTTAGCTTGGTCACTTCTGCAGATAGATTACGATGGAAAGCAATTTTATGGAGTTCAGAAATTTCAGATTGTTTATATACTTTCAAATCTATAGTCCAACGGCTGAAATCTCAGGTGTATGTGTTTGAAACAATGAAGGTAATCTTCAGAAAAATGCGAATTGCTTCACTAGAGGCTTCTAAATTTGAAACGCACATTCGAGTGAATTCATTTTCGAGATGTAATTGTGCCCTGCTACGACTATATTTTCATGAAATGAACATTCGGAGATCATTATTGAGGATTGAAATTTACAATAATCAATGACAGAAGAAATTCATTATGGATTTTTTTCAAAATTTGTAATTCGCTACTTCAAAGTTGAGAACCAACTCCACAGAAATCAAAACTTGTGCGGGGCAAGGAAGAGCGAGACCTTCAGCTTATAGTGGATTCTGGACCACTTTCAGAGCACCAAGGTGCTGTCAGAATTACAAAGCAGAATCACACAATTTTGAAAAGAGGCTCATAGCTAAGCCGAATTCGAACCGCGCGAATACCTCCAAAAGTTGAGAAAAAATCCAACACCTACATCCTCTCCGTATCCTTCCTAGGTATATACGTACGATGTTCGGAGAACATCATAGCAATTTTCTTCCGTGCGCTCCAAGAGGTAAAAAAATAAACATGTATCGATCTCTTCATCTTTCTGAAATGGTGTATCTGAGGAAATGAGTCACATATAAAGAATGTTATTCAAGTATATGTCGCCAAGCGTCGAGGCGTGATTATTTGAGAGCTTCTAAGACGAACAGTTTGTATATAAACATAGGTCCAGAAATGCTTCGTTCTCAAGATATAGTCAGAGTTTTAATAAGAAATCGTATTTTTCTATTCATTACTCGAAATTTTGTTTTTCACTCTCAATGGGTGATGTTGTTCACGGTATCAAGAAGTTTGTTTCGGTGTAATTAGATTCAAAATAATGATTCCAGTGGCGTCGATTACCTACAGCATAGTTTCTATCAAGTAAGATATTTTCATCAGATTCAACAATTGAAGCAGAAGCAACAATCTATAGGTACTTCCAACTTCTACACTCTGTATCTTGTAAACGAAGCAATTCAGGACCTATATGTTCATATTATTCTCATTAATCTTGAATACGCAGGGCTAGACAATTTTGTTATTCCCAGATTGTTTTTACCTTCATCTGGTTGCCCCCATACGAGCAACCCTCAAAAGTCTTCAAGAGACTTGTGGGAGCATCAAGGAATGACGGGGGTCTCACCTTCTAACGTATGATCCCAAACACTTTCTCAAGCCACCAGGAAAATTTCTGCGGTCGTGGTGAGAATCAAATCCACCTACCGGAAATACAACGCGGATAGAATACTGACGCTTCAACCACGAGGCTACACTGGCCACTGAGGCCAACTAAGAATATTTTGCCCTAGAATTTGATCTAGAAATGATACAGAAAGGTACAGGTGTCTTCCTAGTGATACTAAGTAGATATTTTTTGTGGAATACATTCGTTATAGAACTTTTTGGAATTTGAGACTATCAAAATGGTCATAGTTGGTTACGATGACATCACTTTTCGAATGTACATTGATAGCCTAACTAATGAAAAAAATGCCGTGAGATCAAAAATAATTATCCACACACCAAAGTAGTAAATAATATTATTATCACCCAGGGACCAAGTTGATAAGGGTCCCGTGGTAGTAATAATCTTCACTATTGCAATATATTTCGATCCTTATAGTTCTGTTAATAGTCGGGGCTTGTTTTGCGAAAAGTCGAATTCTAGAAGCATTTCATGTAACAATTGGATAAATGACGTTAACCCCCTATTTCGACCCCGCTGAATCCGAAAATACCGTTTATCAAGTCGAAATTCCAACCGAAAGTGAGATATACAAGATGGCGTTCGAAATACCCCTAAAATCTAATTATTTTCTACTTTCGGTCAGCTATACGATTGAGGTGTCGATGTCTATGTTTTCGGGGGTGTAAGATACGATGAGACACTCAAAAAATGATTTGGAGCATTGAAAATTCATCGAATGATCAAATTTTGACGAAATAGACCAAAATTCCAAAGAACTTGTGAAAACGTGTTGCATAATGTATATGTTTGCATACGCTTTCGAGGGTGCTCATATAGTGCCAATAAGTTTATGAGCCAAAAAAGCATTTGAACATTGTCCAAGCCTTCATTTCTTATATTTTTAGAGAGCCCCTTGCAGCCACGAGTTCCAAATTCGGAAAATGAATTGGGTATAGGTGGCAAAGTCATCAGGATTGGGACATATCGTCCATCAACAATTTTCCAGCCGTAATTATTCGGGTCTTATAAATCAGGATACTGATCATGGTCCTTAATCCACGATAGTATCTGAACATAACATTAACATCCTTCGTTTTGTTCAATTTTATTTTACTTGGAAGTAGCACCGGAGAATGTGTTGACGGAGGGCATCAGTGGTAGATGGCGAAAAGCATTCGCACTGTCCAAAAAATTGCAACATGGGCTGCGTCTGCCGTTGTAATGTCCGGTCCAACTCAAAATGAAAATGGTAGTAGTATCGAAACGGCTAATAGTTCTTATTCACCATGTGTCTCAGAAAAGGGACGCAACAAACCTTGTATAGAGCTTGCACCGCAAACTGTTCAACCAAACGGAGATCATCGGGGGCTAGATCGGGAGTTTTTACAAGCTGACTGAGGAGTTTACAGAAGTTTTCTTCAATGTACTTGCTTCCACCGTTCTGTTTTTGTGACTGACGCTAACTTAAATGTAGTATCACATCCAGTGATTGCGTGGAAAGCCATCAGGTTTTTAATCTGTTGTGGTGCAAGTTTCTTACATAGTTCGTGAATTGGAATATACTCCATGCGTAAAAACCGAAAGAGAGGCTGTTGTTGTTTCTGTTGAAGACACTAGTGTGATTTCATAATTCATCTATCACTTTGAAAGAATGAAATGCAAGGAATGCTGGGTGATGTGTGGTACTTCCCGAGATAGAAAGTATATTCCAATTCATGAACAATGTAGAAAGCTCACATCACAACAGATCAAAAACCTGATGGATTTCCACGCAATCACCGAATGTGATACTAAATCTTGATGAGGGTCTGCCACAAAAACAGGACGGTGGAAGCAGTACATTGAAGAAAACTACTGTAAACTCCTCAGTCAGCTTGGAAAGACTCCTGATATAGCCCCCGAGGATCTCCGTTTGGTTGAACAGTTTGTGGTGCCAGCTTTATACAAGGTTTGTTGCGTCCCTTTTCTAAGACACATGGTGAATCAGAACTGTTAGCCGTTTTTATATACTAATATCATTTTTATTTCAAGTTGGACCGGATATTACAACGGCAGACGCAGCCCGTGTTGCAATTTTTGGGAACACATTCTTTGGTGCCACTTCCAGATAAAATTAACAAGAAGAAAAAGAAAATAAAAAAAATCGAGGGATTATAATTTCAGTCGTTTTCTTTTTACTTACTTACTAGTGTGTGGTTTATCGCCCATGATCAGTATCTTGATTCACCAGACCCGATTAATTGCGGCTGGAAAATTGGTGATGGACGGTAAGTCCCAAAGCTTGTGGCTGCATGGGGCTCTGCGGCCACTGCGGCACGAAGCAGTGTGGCTGCAGGGAGCCGAATGGAGCAGAAAAGATTAGGAAGACTACTAATAGTGAACTTTTTTTTTCAAAATATAAGAAATGAAGGCTTGGACAATGTTCAAATGCTTTTTTGGCTCATAAACGTATCGAGCACCCTCGAAAACGTATTCGAGCATGTACATTATACAACACGTTTTCAAAAGTTCTTTGGAATTTTGGCCCATTACGTCAAAATTTGATCATTCGATGAACTTTCAAAGCTCCAAATCATTTTTTGAGTGTCTCATCGTATTCTACACCCCCGAAAACATAGAGATCGACACCTCAATCGTATAGCTGACCGAAAGAAATTTGATTTTAGGGGTATTCTGGACGCCATCTTGAATATCTCACTTCCGGTTGGAATTTCGACTTGATAAACGGTATTTTCGGATTCAGCGGGGTCAAAATAGGGGGTTAACAGCATTTCTCCAATTGTTACATGAAATGTTTCTAGGATTGTAACGGAGGGCTTTTTTTGGAATTTAGCCCCGACTAAAACTGAAATATGGACCTATTGTTACTATAAGCACTTCATTTCTAATTACAGATGAGGTGGCTATGTCTTTATTGACTATTATAGTTCATGAAATGACGAAAACCATCTTGGTAGAAAAAATACTCCACGCCTTGAAAAAAAGTTATTAATTGTATAGGTTTCATAGCCAGTGGTGGAAAAAAATATCCAACATGTGTGGTGAGTCTAGGTGCGACTTATGAGAGGACGATGATTACCCATTTTATTATCTTTGTCTGCGAAAGAACATTTCATTACGATTTTGTTGACTTCGGTATTTCAAGTTTCTTCATCATGAGAATTAGATTGATTATTTCACTTGATTATCCGGTGGGTAGTAGTAGAAATTATCAATAATTTGAACGCCATTTGGTAGTAAGTCAGTACACCGAATATATCCATTGGAATTAAACTGAATTTTATGATGATATAATTTGTAGATAATGTACGAATGTTTCAGACTCTGATCGAGAAAGGTACTCGTAGGAATACAACAAAAAGTTATATTCACATCATCCCAGCACGGGCAAGGAACTTTTTCCAATATTTTATTTACGAATAAAATATTGTAAAGTTTCGGAGCATCGGCTGGGGATAGTCCTGCACGATTCGCTGTTGCGTTCCAATTAACAGTGCTGCTCCTAAAGTGGCGCATGGAGTTAGTGACAAAGCCTGCACAGAACACGCAGAAAGATATGATGATGTGGTTGTGAGCATCAGAGAAGAAGTAGGACGGTGTATGTATGTGGGTGTGAAAAACTACCAGCTGAGCGTGAGAGCGCGCCAGCTGCTTAAGTAGACCTCGGTCTCGGGGGTTAACGAGGATAGTCAGCAGGCCTGCTACTGCGCATATGGTAGTGAGTATATTACTAGCCTACAAAACACAGCTGAAAAACTCTGAAAAGAGAGCTGATGGGCGGTGCCTGAAAAGGATGTTAGCCAGCTCTCTTGAGCGAACCACATCAGTCATCGAAAACACTTGGGGTTTGCAAAAAGGTCCCATTGGGGACTAGTTGCTGACGTGGAAACGTCCCCCACCAGTACCAGTACCAGTATATTCACATCAACTAGTATGTTTCGAAGCTTACTTTTCGATATACAGGATGTTGATGTTATATATATCATTTTGTCCTTGTGCGTTATCACCCTGTATGAGCTTCCATGATGAAAATTTTCAATGTGGTTAGTAACTCACCAATTCTCGAAATCTTCAAATTATATCCTACTTATTATGGCTAGCCAGGGATCTCAATAGATACCTATCTTAAATCTACTTTTGTATTCAAAATCAAATCGAAGTTCTGTTCGTCCACATATAAACTAAGCAGAATACAACAAAATCACAAGAAAGTTGAAATAATTACGATGAATTCAGTTAGGTCAGCAGACAGATAATATACATCTTCATATCACATTCCAACCAGGCCAGTTCAAAAGTAAACAGCTGATGAGTTTTCTAGCTGCGAATTAAGATTTATTGATTTCAAAAAATTTCAAGTTTTTTTTTCTGGAAAACAAGTTTACATGATTTTCTCCTTTTATTTTCACGGGATCTATGGCATTTTGAATTTTTCGAATTACTTTCTGGTATACCTGTATATTTAATCATTGAGTTTGCAACTGTTAATTCACTCCGAATGATCAATGAGTTTGATATCTTGAAATACTTATTTAACAGGTATATATCATTCTTTTGTCTCAAATTATTGATAATAATTAACTTGAAAACAAAGTGACGATCACTCGCTATTATTATCACTAATATCATCATTCTTGTTGAGTGAAATTGTTGTGATTCGGATTGTTATTCTTATTATACATATTGTTGGTCGATTATTGTATTATCATTACTTGAGGTAGTCAGCTCACTCACTCTCGACCAATAGTTGACTACGACCAGATCGATGCTGAGACAACTAACTCTTGTTTCACTTACATGCATCAGAGCTCCTTGCACGCCCTCTTCTTCATCTTGCGAATACTGAAAAGAAAAAAAAAATATAAGAAGTATATCATATCAATTCCACATAATTATACTGACAACCACACAAAATAGTAAGCGTATTGTTCAACAAAATAGTAAGCGTATTGTTCAACAAGCATGGAATTTTCCACGAGAATAAGTAGGGTATTAGAATCCCGTGTGAGTTATACACTATACCTTTACTACGACTGTAACAGAAAATAGCGAAATTTTCAATCTCTCCGGCTTATAGCCATCTGATTTGCTCTAGGGTCTCTTGATGCAAATTGACGTATTTGTCATCTTATCATCGTAGGGACCGATCCTCGTATCCTATCATTCTCATGTGTTTGTGAAGAAGTTATATAGTTCCATCGTTATTCAATTCTGAGGATAAACAGTAGATTTCTGATATTTGTTGTCATTGAGGTTATATTGAGGACATTGGCGTATCTCACGTAATTTCCACATCTGATTTCTGATTCAACTCTACATACAATATGAACATATATATTCCAATGTTGATCGATCAATTCAAAGTTTCTGATTATCCAACTCCAGCATAATTTTTGTGGGGTAGTGAACATGAAGTTAAGTATAGTTTACCAGATGATACTGTTCTTAAAAATGAATGAATTTTGATTTCAAGCCCTTGTCTTATAGTTGAGAAATGGTAAAAACCTTGATGAAGCTATTTGAACTGAAGTGCCCGTGTCATGTGTGCTGTATATTCAGGGTGAAATTCAATTGACAGCTGAAAATATAGGATATAATTTTATGAAAGATAGTCCTTCAAAGTTATATTCATGCAGGAATCTTGAGGTCAGAGTCTTGAGAACATGAATCATCTCTCCCAAAAGGACTTCGTTTTGATGTATCATTTGTGTCATATTAATGAAGAAGGTTGAAGAAATCTATTATGAACTCAAGAGTCGGGAGTTATAATAAATAATTAGTATAGTTTCAAATTGATTTGAATCAATCACTGTTTTCTTCTTTTCTGTTTCAAGGAGATTTTTCTTGTCTGTATCTAGATTCACTCATTCTAAATATTAGTTCTCCAAATGTTTTTCATCGAAATCAGAGAATCACCTGATTTTCTCAGGAAACACTCATTCGTCATTTTGAATATTTTCACAAAATTCCTATTTTTTTAGTCAAAAGCTTGGCAAGTCTTATTCACAAACAGATTTTGCAAGACGATCCTATACCACTGTTTTCATTATAAAATTGACTCGATTTTGATATATTCCACAAGTTATGAGCATATAAGTGAATGATTAATATCAACTTGCCTGATAATAGGGACCAAAAAAATATAGTCAACCTAGCTGTTCCATATTCTATATGTTGTATGCTTTCCATCGGAATTCCGTTCATTTGACAAGCAAGTCGACGAAATTTCAAAAATATTTCTTTTTTTTTATTATTTTCCTTCATCATGGCCATAAACATATTTTAATGGCAACCCTTTATAAGTCCATATTCAGAAACATCATATATTTGATAAAATATATAATCTTCATCTGGTGAGCAGATGAGTGATGGTCGCCCCTTCTTGAAATCCTCTACTATCATAGAATTAGGACATTCAATGTACCTCATTGATTAATCAATCAAACAAGAGTGATCTTGTGTTATGTCCCTAGAAAAAATATCAAATCAATATGAATTATTCATGCGGGATGATATGCCGCGTGCTTCTCTCACTCCAGATTGTAGAATTTCAAAACACTAGAAATATTGGTGAATTGTTGTTCAAAATTGCTGATGGAATTTTTTCGGGACTGAATTCTTTGTGAATACGAGTTGAGATAGGATTATAAAAAGACAATTAGGAATGCGAAAGCTCATAATGTCGAATGATGCATGATAATGCTAATTTCAAAATGAGCACTACTAATGTCATCTTCAATGGTCATTAATCGTAGAATAATAAGAACCTACAATATTCTACAAAAATGGATAAATATTTATATAAAGCAATACATTGGGAATTCGCATTCTCTATGTGGTGAGAATATCAACTCTTTTTCAGTTTATTCAATAAAAAACAACTACTTCCCTGGCTATATGCCACGACGAACATTGAATTATATCTATTGAAGACACATGATAAGAGTTTGAAAATAAAATATAAAATCTTCTGTAATCGAGAATTTGCATTCTCCTGCAGACAAAAATATGTATATGCACAGCACTTCATTCTGAATATTCAACAGTAAACAACTACTTTCCTGGCTATTTGCCACGTCGAACATTGAATTATATCTGATGAACATCCGAAAGGAGGACATGAAAAATAAAAAATAAAATCATCCGAAATTGAGAATTGACATTCTCTCTCAAATCGGATGAATAATATAATGTATAATGATATAGAAATATAACTTACCAATATATTCAGCTTTGAAATGAAAATTAGAATGTATAAGAGAAGTATACTGGCATAAACTCTGATCTCGATGAGCTTGAAAACTTCCAAACATAATCATTTATTGTTGAAAAGGAATATTCTCAGATGAATTATGAACATACAAAAATGGATATAATTATATTTATATGAAGCAATACATTGAGAATTTGCATTCTCTATGTGATGAGAATATCTACTCTTTTTCAGTTTATTCAATAGAAAACAACTACTCTCCTGGCTATATGCCACGACAAACATTGAATTATATCTATTGAACACACATGATAAGAGTTTGGAAATAAAATATAAAAACTTCTGAAATAGAGAATTTGCATTTTCCTTCAGACAAAAATATGTATATGCACACATCATTCTGAATATTCGACAGAAAACAACTACTTCTCTGGCTATTTGCCACGTCGAACATTGAATTATATCTGATGAACATTCAAAAAGGAGAACATGTGTGCATATACATATTTTTGTCTGAAGGAGAATGCAAATTTTCAATTTCAGAATTTTTTATATTTTATTTTCAAACTCTTATCGTGTGTTCAATAGATATAATTCAATGCTTCATAAAAATATATATCCCTTTTTGAATGTTCATAATTTATCTGAGAATATTCCTTCTCAACACTTTCATACCCAATCAGGGGGTTCGAACTTGAACGATGGAACTTGTGATTTTTATAGATCTCTAATCGCAGTTTCGTGAAAGAGTCTCAATTCAGAATTTCTTTCCACGCCCTGTATGATGATTGTCAATTTATCATACACCCAAAAGCATAATCATTCATATCAGTGATATGGGAAATATTATCTCTCACACACAGGTTATATGACTTTATTGCAATGAAACCATTTCGGATTTCTAAATCCTCATCAGTAACCATGAGGTCCACTTATTCTTACAGCCCTTCTTCATGATATACACAATTTTCATCTCTCTATGATGCAACTAAAACCGAGTGAAAATATAACAAAATGACATCTGAGAAAATTTGTTGACATTCTATCCTGTATGTATCATACACCCAAAAGCAAGAAAAAATCAGATAACAAGTTTGTCATTTTGGCGTCGTACATTATGTACATACGATTTGAACGGCATACTTGCTGCAGAGGAGGAACGAAATGTATAGTTTATGCAAAGCAAAGCAAGCCGTCGGTCCCTATGAAAGTTCAAAGAGTGCGGCAGCGCTGCCTGACATTCGTTTGATGATCTGTTCAACTGACTTTGTTTAAACTTCCAACCTGGTACAATAATTAGGCTAGTTAGTAACAGATTTCGTGTGGGCATCCACTTTGAGATTCTCGAACGGGAATAGGCGTATTCGTGAGGTCTATTCAGGGATTGTAGACTATATCAGATCCAGAAATCAGGAAATAACAGATGGAATTGACTGACTGAGCTAGTCGTATATGTTAGACAGCTCGAACTAATTCTCAAAGCAGCTTCGGAACTAGAATAATTGATTAGCAACTATTATTCTAGAGGTGATGGCTTTTGTCATCAAAGTGTATTCACCTCTGCGAGTATTTGGATTGGACTGGCTTACGAAGCGACTGATATGTTGGGAACGTATACAGGGTGTTCCACAGGTCATAGATTGAAAGTAGTGTGTTGGAAGGAAATGGGTCATTTGCAATCAATCTAACGGTGTATGTGGTTATAAAATTTTTGATGGTTCGGAAGTGATTCAATTTTTCTGAAAAACGCGACCCCATTTGAAAAAATTTGATAACAAAAAATCTAACATGAATAGCTCCATATGTTATGAGATTTCAGAATCTGTATTGAATGAGCAACTTCTTTCATAATTGATTATAGGGATAGTTTTGAGATGTGCCAGCGGTATTCAAAAGTGGGTTGAAATATTTCATTGAATGATGAAACTTAGGGAAAATGAAATGTTTTCAGGTAATTGATACGAATGAACACAGGTTATGTGATTGGAATTTGTGAACGAAAGAATCACAAATGTGCGACAGTTTTATCGTGAAGAATCAATACCTTCTGAACCACCACCAATTAGATGAGCCCATATACGGTGAGTTTGATTGGTAATGACCCTTTTCCTCTTCCTCCCGCCCCAAATGACTCATGGGACACCCTGTGAATGCATCAATTCAAGAGGCTCGGAAAGTGAGGTTAGGCGATTGCATTAATATTTGATGAATCATTCAGAGACTTCTTGATTATAAATGATGTTCAATGATTAGCATAAAATACTACCTTCATGTGAAATTCGTATTCCACTCCATTACATATCTCTATTTGAATATTAGTATCACCTGATTCTGCTTGTAACAGTGTTCGTGGAATCTATAATTAATAAGTTCATTCTCATCGGAAGATATTCTAAGAATTGTAGAATCTAATCTCTTTCTCTTGCTGGAAACTAACTGAATTAGTCCAGAAGGAGCCACTGATATCTTCCGAAGCGTGTTCCAGATATCTAAAAGAAGAAAGAAGAGAGATATTTGAGAAATAGTCATATCCTGTATATCGAAAATGATGTGATCTTGAAGAAATATTCAGAAAAACTTCTTCATTCAAAAAAAAAATACTACCTTACATTTTTGATACTGATCTCTG